ACGGCGGCGGCGGCCGGGGAGGGGAGGGGGGGAGGGAAGGTGTCAGTCACCGACAACAACAAGCCGAGTGCCCCCACGCACACACTCACTCACTCACTCACTCACTCACACACACTCACACACACACAACACGGGCGACAACCACCTCACTGCAGCACCCGATCAACGGCGGCACGCACGCCCGGTCGGCCCCCTGACACGTGACCGGACTCTCCGCGCCGGGAGAGCCGAGACTTGTAGTCCTCGAGCGTCTGATGGGCAGGTCGGAGAGCGCCGGAGAAACTACAAATCCCATCAGGAAGCGCACACAATCTTCACCAGCCCCGCTTGTTGACAGAGCGCAGGGCGCGTGCGCGCGGTGGTGGGTGCGAGAAGTGGCGCGGTGCCTCCCGGGAGATGTAGTCCACAGACCGCGAGTTGTCAGGAGATTTTCCTCCCCAAGCGGCGGAGAGGCTGCTGGGAAGACAGGACACGTGGAGGGAGCTGGGCTTCTGGAGCCGGCCACAGTCTGAGCTCTGGGCGCCTGGCCCAAGGGATTGGGTGGAGGCTCAGGGGGAGAAGCTAGCTGCCAAAATAACACTGTCTCTTCTTGGCTAGACTGCTTTTACATTGTCTTGTTTAACGCTTGAGTCGCTCCACTTGCGCCCTGGGGCGTAACCCTCACGGGAAGGAATCAAGCTGCTGCTGGTCAGGGGGCGCGGTCGGGATGCCCACGCGGACCCTCGGGATCTAGTTTGGGGGAGTTAAGAGGCGATACAGGACAAGCTAAAGGACCTGCCTCGCCGGGGTACACTTAGTCCCAAGAATTTTGCTTTCATTTGTCCGAGAGGACCGTCCTTACTCGGCTTGAATGTTTACAAAATCTCGCTTAGGTGGAAGTAAATAAAACCCAACTGTTTGTCGTAGCCCATGCAGATGAAGGAGTGCCCCAGTGCGGGAGAACCTTAATTAAGAACTGCAGAAAGAATAAAAACGGGAAAGTTGTGCGGCTCCCTGTCCAACCAAAGTCATATTTATACACCGAGGTATGAAGCATGACTACATCCCACCAGTATTTATTATCTAATGTGGCAGAACAGGCATGCCGTGATGGGTACGACTGAACAGGGCCCCTCAAAGATCTCACAGCTTGTGGAAGCGAAAACCGGACTACCCTGCCACCATTTTCAGTGTGCACCAGGTCCTTCCTTGATGAAAGAAAAATAATAAAGGCACCTTCTATAACCAGAGAAATTAACCAAACTGGTTAATTTACAACTGGTTTCCAAAATGAATGAAGTCTTGGGTTTGGGCTATGAGTTACTGATTCCTGAGTGAAAACAGTTTTGTTTTGTTTTTGTTTTTGTTTTTTTTTACATTTTATCTATCTATCTATTTATTTATTACGTATACAACATTCTGCTTCCATGTATATCTGCACATCAGAAGAGGGCACTGGACCTCATAACAGATGGTTGTGAGCCAACAGATGGTTGTGGTTGCTGGGAAATGAACTCAGGACCCCTGGAAAAACAGTCAGTGCTCTTAACCTCTGAGCCATCACTCCAGCCCAAGTGAAAATAGGTTTTATCCCTGACTATTGAAGGCAGAAACTTGATGATATAACAAAATCTTTGTGACATCTACCCCAGGCTGGCCTGAAATAGCTGTGTAGCCAAGCCTAGTGTTGAGAACACAGTCATAAGCAGACACTTAACATGCTAGGAGACAGAGAGCTTCTAAGGAGACAAAGACGCTAGGAGTTAAGTGGATACCAGAAGTTACCAATGATCACAGCAAACACCCATTCGATACCCACCTTCAGTGTGCCAAGCATTTTCAGACACCCTTAGCTGCAAGTTAAGTTTATTCGTGGACTTAAAAAATTGTCATGCCTGGCCCATGCTTAATTGGCCAATTAAGTCAAAACCTCTGGGGTTAATAATTGTACTTTAACAAAGCTGTTCTTGAAATAATCTTAGCTCACATGGCTAAAACCTAACAAGGGAGTGAATTGTAAAAACTCTGTAGGGAAGACAGACATGTCAAGAAGATTGTACAGCAGCATGCTGGCAATATTAATTTAGACAAGGTTGCCATGTTTCAGGTAGAATGTTAGACCCCCGGAAAGCTCAGGCCTCTGGGGTCTCAGCCCAGGACCAGGGTCACCCAATCACCATGCGGAGGCGAAAGCTTGATGCAAACTGCATGAGGCTTTATTATAGTTGTTTAACGAGCTAACCCCATGTTAGCTCAGGTCTTTCATCCCCCCGCCATGGCGGATGGCTAGGAAAGATGGCTTGAAGCGTCTGCATAGAGATCTTATAGGGCAGCGTAAGGGGAGTGTCTAGGGGTATGCACAGGCTCAGGATTGGTGTGCCTCCAGGCTTGGAGGGTTTGTCCTGTGTTGATTGGTCAACTGGTTGTTATGGCCCATAGGCCTTCCCAGGGTGGTTGCTATGCTCTGCGAGTCATTGCTGTGCACTTGTCTGTAATGCACACCCAGAGCCGTAAAGCATAGAACCACCAGCTAACTTCTGATTGGTTCCTTGCCAAGAGGCAGGCACCTAACCTCTAGTGACTAAGGCAAGGTCAGAAAAGCACATGTTACTGTCATGGCTGCCGAAAGGGGCAGGCATCTGACCTTAGTGACCAAGACAAGGTCAGGCAAGTTCGTGTTGGGCTGTTATGGCTGCTGAAATGGGGAACTGGTCCCTTCAGGGTGGGGGAGGTATTGGCCAGGGCCATCTTAGGCTGTCAGTTCCATAGGACAAGGTCTGGGTCTACAAAGACTAAGCCAAATTTTACTCACCACAAATCTCCACATTTTGGAAGAAGATTTGCACAGGTAGAAAAAGGGCTCTTCAGAAGGGGCAACCGTAAGTGCTAACACAAGTCTCCTAGTAATTTTTCCAGGAGTGCCTTGGGGGATTGGGGAGGACAGTGAACAAAGTCTTAACATGTAACCTAAGCTGGCCTAGAATTCACTATAAATCCTTCATTTCTCAATAATCGTCCTGTCTCAGCCAAGGCCTGGGATTATAGGTGTGTGCTATCTAGTCCCATTTTTTTTGCCTAATAATTGACAGACTATCAAAATAATCTGTCAATCTGGCTAGTATATCTGACCTCATAGACATAAAAAAAATGCATCCAGCAATTGAATGTTATTTTGAAAGGCTCATGGACCATTTATAAGAACTGTGTTCTGAGCCATAAAACAAGTTTCGATGGACTGTCATCTTAGAGAACATATTCTAATATAGTTAAAATGGAAATAATAAAAACAGAGTGGGAATAAATTCACTTGACTTACATGCATAAGGACTTAGGTTTAGCCTCTAGCACTGCAAAACAGTAATAATAATGTAAATTAAAAAATAAACAAAAAGCCAGACATGGTAGCTAGCACATGTGTGAAGGTGGAGGCAGGTGGATGGAAAATTCAGTCATCTTCAGTCCTATAAGGAAAGGGAGTCAAGTGACCCAAATGTCGATTTTCATGAACAAGACATGTGCTGATAGAACAGTTGGGCACAGGGGGACTAGAGAGATGGCTCAGAGGTTAAGAGCCCCGGCTGCTCTTCCAGAGGTCCTGAGTTCAATTCCCAGCAACCACATGATGGCTCACAACCATCCGTTATGAGATTAGGTGCCCTCTTCTGTTGTGCAGATATACATGGAAGCAGAATGTTGTATACATAATAAATAAAATCTTAAAAAAAAAAGAAGAAAAGTTGGGCACAGGGACAGAAATGTCCTTCAGTTTTTCCTTTCATTGTTGTTTTCAGATATGAATAATAATCTAAGAAGTCATTTTCATTTTTCCACAGGTGTGTTTTTGGTAAAGATTTAAAAATTTTTCAAGGCCTTGACCTTTTCAAGAATCAATCTGTCAGTCCTAACTACTCTGTGCTAGTCCAAGGAAGTACACACCCTAGGAGGCTTAATAGAAATGCAAAGCAGCAGCCCCAGTACAACTCAGACAATCACATCTGCATTATAATTGGTTCCTATTTGTATTAGAACTTGAGAAGCCCTGGTCTGCGGTCTGCGAGGATGGGGGCTGTCAGTTAGGCAGATGACTGCCACAATTTCTGCTTCCTTCCACTTTGCCTAAAATCACTCTTCTCTGGGTATTACCTCTTTGTTGATAAATCAAAATCCTATCTCACTTACTTGTTGACCTTCTATTCTGTTTTATTGTTTTTGTTTGTTTGTGGTGCTGGGGAGTCCAGCCTAAGCCTTCACATACATTATGCAAAGGTCTCAGGGTGTGGATCAGGCTGTCTTTGAATTTGTGGTCCTCCTGCCTCAGCCTCCCAAGTGCTGGGAATATAGGCATGAGCCATTGTAACTTGCTGTGAATTCTCCTTTCTTGAGGAATCCTTATAATTTGTCTCCTACTTCCTTGGCTACCTTTTCTCTGTGTTTCTGATTCTCTTTTTCTAGGCCCTGTATAACTTTTGGGATCCTTGAATTTTCCTTTATTTAAAAATTCTCTATTGGTTCTCTCTCTGTGTCTCTCTGTCTCTCTTTTTCTCTCACACACATACACACAAAACATACACATTAAGTAAATAAATAAAAAAAGGAGTTCAAGGCTAGCCATGGCTATAATAGTAGATTTGAGAACCTGAACTATATGATACCCTGTTGTAGAACATTGTTTCAAGATGTTACATTTTTTTAATGATGCAAAGATGTGTTTTATACTTTTATGTTGCATTTGTTTAACTCTGTGAAGCTGTCTATGTAAGACCCAGGGAAGCTCAGGATCTCAACCCAGGACCGGGGTCATCCCAATCACCATGCTGAGGTGAAAGCTTGATGCAAATTGCACGAGGCTTTATTGTAGTTGTTTAAGGAGCTAACCCCATGTTAGCTCAGGTCTTTCATCCACCCGCCATGGCGGATGGCTAGGAAAGACGGCTTGAAGCGTCTGTATAGAGATCTTATAGGGCAGCGTAAGGGGAGTGTCTAAGGGTATGCACAGGCTCAGGATTGGTGTGCCCCCAGGCTTGGAGGGTTTGCCCTGTGTTGATTGGCCAACTGGTTGTTATGGCCCATAGGCCCTTCCAGGGTGGTTGCTATGCTCTTCGAGTCATTGCTTTGCACTTGTCTG